GGGAATTACTATGGGAAAACTTATGTTTTTGTTGATATCTATCTAACAATTCACCACATCATTATGTTTTTAAAAATGATAGGAGGGATTGTAGCAAATTTTATTAGCTACACCTTTGTTCAAACCTACTTTTAAATCAAATGTAAGGAACAAAAGTTATTAATGATTCAAGTCACTGATGTCTTATGATTATGCTCATTCAACTGTTCAGCAGGCAACATTGGTGTTTCTGGTGCGAAGAATAGAGCACAAATAGGGGAAATGACGGCTTCGGCATGACAGACTATTTTCGGCAACCCAAATTGAAACACTATTTTCACTGGATTTTCTTACGAAAACACTTCGCTGAATGCATGCAAACGATTATTTATGCTTTCAGCTTCAATTTGACTATATTTTTACCACTGAGAAAAAGCAATCAAGCAGGGTTTTCTTGAAATGAAACACACGCACTACAAATTGTAGCTGATTTCGAGTTGCTGATAATAGAACAGCAGATTTACATGCAGTTCAAATGGAACGGTTGCCGAAGAAAAACTGGTTGCCGACAATACTCGCTCTCACTAGAGAAGATTGGAGCTTTGTAAAAGCGTTTCAAAACAGTTTTTGACAATTATTTCGACTGAAATTGTTAGAGCAGCTGGCAGCAAAAGATTGTAAACAAACCAATACTACATATGTGTGCGTTATAGAAAGAAGGTCGCTGCTTGGGTTGCCGAGAATACGTAAATTCCCCTATCATGGCTACTGCAGAATACAGTGTTGCCCACAGAACAGCTGCTTGATCATGCCATAAGATTATCAATCTCTTAATAAAACAAATAAAAAAAAACAATTAATAACTATTTAATTTGACATTTGACTGAAAAACGATATTTCGCAAAGTTGTAGCTTAGAAAATTTTCCGTAAGAATAGCTATAGAACTTTTCAAAAAAGCAATATGGAAAATGGATAGAAGTCAATGAACAAAAAGTTTAGTTTTCCCATATTAATTTCCATATAAAATTCGAATGGTTTGTGCCAAGTCAGTTTCTTATCAAATGAGTTTGAGGAGGCTTATCAGAACCTGATTTGAAACCGTTTGAGCACTGTGGAGCGAAAATTTCAAATTTTGCATCTGTCTAGTGTATACGGTTATGATGTGCTTTGTGAATACCCTTATTATTTCCATGCAGTAAATACCTTCTCATTCTATTAGCAAGCATGCACACTTAGAAAATATCATGTAAATTTAGGTGCTCTGAGAGTGACATATACGAGCGTCAATTTTGACATAAATCTAAGTCATAACAGTTGTGAAATATAGCTCAATCAAACGTACTTTTCGTCAAGCAACGAACTTTTCTGTCTCGGAGCGCTTAATATTACATGCCATGTTTGTTTACGTCTCATATTTTATGTCAAAGATGGATTCCGTCACGTGTAAAATTAATTATTTCTAAGTGTGTGGATCTTTTCGAATTTGTTTACATTAAAATAAAATGCAGCAACATTAGTAAGAAGCATGAGCATGAGCATGATTGACCGCCCACGGTTGCTACTCTGTTATTCAGAGCAGATGTAATTACACAGAGAGCCAATAGACGATGCTTGGGACTAGCAATCATCCTCAATGTGTAAAAACTGGTGATCTCAAACTAGGCAATACCAGTGCTGGCCGCGCCTGAACATAGGTCAAGAAAGGAAGGGGTAGGAATGTGTTGACGTGACACTTGCTTAATGGAAGCCGAGAACACCTCTGCACTTCCACGAGGAATCACTGGGATATTGTGTAATAGGGCTGGGTTTGCAGCATGATTGATGTCCTAGCGATCATATAACGCGAAAGAGCTTGGGATTGAAACCACGGTCTTCTGCTCAGTAAGCACAGACGTTTGCCACTAGGCAGACGAGCTCCTTTTTAATCATCGAGTTGCAGTTACTACCATGTAGTCATGTTAACAAATAAAACGATTGGCGAATCTTGAATGTGGATGGGATTGAGATTAGACTCATGATGTGCTGCTCAGTAAGCAAAAACGGTTGGTCTAAGGCCACCGAGCCCCTCATATCACATTCTACCGTAATTCCAGGTGTTATATTGAATAGTCCGCACCGACGACAACGAAAAATTTTACAAAATACACGATAAACAAGCGATCTTACCATACATTTTTAACCACGTTTTTCTGCTCAGTAAACAAGCCACTGCAACCGACGATCTTTCAAATCATAAAACTAAAAGCTTTGAAAGAGTACATAGGCTTTCATTAAGGTCCACTTTCACGTGACGTTCAATGTTTCAATTTGCTCTTTACGCATGGTTCAGGCAATCATAACAAGCTATGACCGACGTGACGATTGTTTAAACTCTGGTTAAACAAGCTATTCAAATGGAATTACGTTCTCGAATTTCACTTGCTATGTAATGAACAACAGAAATACGCGATAATTCATGTAGTTTCAGCGGTTGATTGTTAATTTTAAATATACTAACGGTACTGTCTACGGCGACTACGACAGCGATTACGACAGCGATTACGACAGCGATTACCACGGTGATTACGACAGCGAATACGACGGCGAATACGACGGCGAATACGACGGCGAATACGACGGCGAATACGACGGCGAATACGATGGTGAATACGATGGCGAATACGACGGCGAATACGACGGCGAATACGACGGCACCTACGACGACAGCGAATTTGTAACTTACCATTTGCCTATGATATTACACTTTTGCCCGACACCTCCACTTGAGCTTCATTTCTGCTATCTGTCACTGTTTGATATAACAACATTAGTAAGAAGCATGCGAATAAGTGAACTCTTGAGTGCATTTCTTTGAAAATATCTTAAATATATTCAAAGGCGTTCAGTAACTTTTCAGTTCCATAAAGCTACAGCAGTTAAGCCTTGACAAATTTATAATATAAAACGAATTGTTTTGCTCAAATGTACACCTTGAATTCAGGTCACCGAAGTCGGTAAAATTTTACTGGGTTTTTTTAACAGTCGGTAACATTTCAAATGACTGAACACACAAGAAATCAAATTAAAAACGACAAATTTTATTGTTTATCATAAAATTGGGTTAATTTAGTAAAGTCTGTGTTAACTCGGTAAAAGTTTAAAACTTTTACCGAGCAGTTCCGTGGTTCAAAAATTATCGAACAGCAGAGGCCTTGATTTGTTTGTACTTATCATTTATTTGTATACTTTAGTTATTTTCCTGATCTTTTCTTAAATTCATAAATATCCGGATTTTCAAAGTCGGTGATTTTCAAATCAGAGCAGATGGAGTCGGAGTCGATCAGTTTCAATCCGACTCCACAGCCCTGGTATTTACAAAATACACCAAAGCAGCATGACTGCTAAACCATATTCATGATGATTGATTCATCTCACAGAACACAGAACAGGCCGAGCGCGCGTAGGTAGTTCGCTGTGCCCTCGAGATTTGTGTACCTACCTGTCGCGAGTCGCGATTCCTGTTCCAAATATGAATGAACTTTCGATCGTTAAAGCAACCCGGTCTACATGTTGCACTCACTGGCGTCGTCACTCTGCCCAATCTTTCAAAACCGGTTCCTCGCCTCTCTATATTTACTCTCCATCTAATAAGTTTATTTCTTTGGTGGAAGTATTTGTGCTGAACGGTCATTCATTTGCTCTCATGAATAGCCATTAGGGTACTTCATTTTGAAAAAAAAGTATGAGAAATCTTCCCTTCTGTTTAATTAATAATCCCAAAATATGAGTCTGTGCAAAAAATGGTAAAGATGATGATGGTTTAGATGTCACGCAAATGGTTTCAAATTTGCATGGGAATTATTATGGAGGCATTTTAAGTTTAACTTATATCGCGATAACTTAGGTTCAACTTGTCAAAATGCTTAAAAATCCGAAATATGTGGTTGTTATGACAATGAGCTTATTGATGCTACGTAAAGCTTGGCATCATTTCAAGAAAGATAGAAATGCGAAAAAATGACAATAGAAGGTAAGTAGTTAAATACGTCACAGACAACAACACCAATTTCATCACAACAATACAAGTAACTTAGATCGTAAATCGTTGTCATGCCAACCAAATATTTCAGCGTTTGGGCAACTAGAACCAAAGTTAGAGCGATGTATGTGGAATTAAACAAAAAAATCCCATAGTAATTCGCCATAACCTCCAAATACATTTCAAATCATTTGCGCGGCCCCTAAACTTTCGTCAATATTTACCATTTTTTGCACAGACTTATATTTTGGGATTATAAACTGGAACCATATAAATGCTCAATCTTTTTTTTTTCAATGAAGCACCCTAATGATAGAATTCATTGGAATTGTTCATCGCAACCCCGCTAGTCCGTTTACTACTATGGACGCAGGTAGGAACCTCACGTACAGGTGTGCATGGCTAATGAACCCGTGCAAGCAACGCGGCTAAAGGTAAACAAAAGAGCATAAACGTTGAACGAATACGTCGCGCCGTCAATAGAGCCAAAGCAGAAGAAAGTTGCACAAAAACCGGTTTGTTTCGCTGTGCTAGTGCAGCGCTATGGCCGTGTGTTGTTATTTCAATTCAGGCTCATGCCCACCTAACTCTCTCCATAATAACGTGTGGGCTTGGGGTCTGCTCTCTCGGAGGTAACCTCTCGCATGGGGGACCTGGATCTCGTTGCTAGTTTTCCAACCATGGGTCATGTCGCTTATGAACAGTTTGGATTAACTTTTATGTTTCAAAATGCATCAATAACACACTGCGAAAGGAACAGATGTTTAGTTTTGAAAAATATGATGATAGTGATAGTGATAGAAAAGGCGTAGGTTTTGCTGAAAATATTACATACAAATTGTCACCATTACAGTCACTCAGCTGGAAACACTGCCAGATGTCCAGCAGGAGAGTGTAACCGAAGTCACCACGCGTTGATGGTTTTGTCTGTGGAGAGAGACAAACTGGTTCTCTGTGGTTGCCGTTTGGTCGCATGCTTGCCTTTCAGTCTGGTTTGAGCTACGAAACGGTGCAGGTCGTGGAACCTATATCAGTTGCAGTCGCGTTCGTAGTCTGTGTGCTCTCCGGAAGAATGTGGTGTGCACCTTCTGTGGAACATAACATTGAATCAACCTGTTCGGTGCAATTCGTCGCATTATGAGGAAGTGAGCATGATTTTCTGGTGAATTGTTAACTCAAAGTGATTATTTGAACAAAGAAGTTACTAGTCCTTCCATTCAGTTGAAATCGAATATTTAGGTGAAAAGTTGCCATCCGTGCCTGTGTGAGTCTTCGTGACTCATTAATCAGTGTGACAACAGGTGTTTTCCGGTTTCATCTTTTACTTTCTGCGGGAGATTTGACCTGTTTCGGAGAAGTGCTGAGGTGAGATGGTTTATGCCTGGCGGCGAAAGAAAGTGTTTGGTCAGGAAGAATAGAAACAAAACGGGAAGTGTCAAGAAATCAGCGTCGCGAACAAGTTGGAGAGAGTGATTGGCCCCCAGAGGAGAGTGTAAGAAGATCTGCCGAGGAAGTGTGGTATCAAAGTGTGTCAACAGGATGCTGCGTGTTTGGCGTTTGTACAGTTGATGAATGACACATTTTTCCTATGTGTATTTCCATTTCGTGTGGTAAACAACGAGAAATGTTGGGCTGTATTTTGGATATGAGAGTCTACGTGTGCATGTGATGAAAAAACGGTTGAAGAAAAAAAAAGGTTCAAGATAAAGTGCCGACAAAGGTTGCCTGCATCTTGTTGGAAGTGAGGAAGAAGAATTTTAATCGAAGTGTCATTGCTGTGTTGCTACGGTGAAACGACAGAATTTCCATCTTGAGCTACTGCAGTGTATCTGGCTGAATTACTATAGCGAAGCGAGACGTAGATTACAACGAACGGCGAGCATTTGATCTGGGATGCGGTAAGGGTGATGCATAAGAAATAAAGAAGAAAAAACAAACGTGTGAGCCGCTTTTAAGGATCGATTTTACAACACTCTGGATTAAGTGCAATAGGGTACCGTGATTTGTTTTGTTGAGGAATTTCTAAGGAACGCGCGAGGATTTGTAAGGTATTCGAAAGCTGATTGGGATCCGAACGAACCGTGTGTTGCCGATACTGGTACATTGATACAAAAGGATTTTACTTGCAAATAAGGTATGTTTGAAACGATTATCTGCCAGATGATTTCATTTATTTCATCATCAATCATCAATTATAGCAAATGCAAAGCAATGTAAACAAGGAAATAGTTATTTCCTTCTAGCACATATCTATAGAAGCACGGAAAAACCTCGAACAAAAACAAAGATTCCTTCAAGAAAATATACCAAAACCAAAACCGTCGAAACGTTGAGGACGTTCTATAATTACATCATCTACCAGCCAGGAATATAGATTCAAATTCTGATTTTTTATGATGATTTCATGTCGTACAGAAAATATAGCACCATTATGCCAGTGCATACAGTATCCTCCAGTTTCTGACAAAATTAGTGAAATTCTGCTCAGTTATAGTCTCAGCATCCGTATTCAAAAACAGGTACTTCCGTTCGTGAAAGTTGTTTTTTTTTCTTGCTCTGCCTCATGTTTTTTCCGCGATTTGTTTTCCATCGATCTTATTTTCCTTACTGGCTACCAATATGGTACCGACGCAAGGGCGTGATCATAGATTTTTATACATCATAAAATCCCGGCGGTGCCGACTGGGATTGAACCCAGGCCCTTTGGGGTGAGTGGTAATCACACTTACCACTACACCACCGGTGCCGCTAAACTGTTCCATGTAGTAGTCATAACTTTCAACTTGTATTTAGATCTTCACTAAGTAAATCATAAGCGCGCTTCACATGTAAATAGAGTTGAAATGAAGGAATTTGCTCAAATTAAAGTGACGTAAGCTATGGGACCTCAGATAGCCTTGTCAATAAAGGTAGGGTCCGGTAGAGGAAACCTTTCGGGTTGGGAATTTGTTCGATTTAGCAGGGCATAGAGTATCATTGTGTTTGCCACACAATATACAAATTCATGCATTGGTTAGCATAGAAAGCTCTCAATTAATAAATGTGGAAGTGCATCTAGCACACTGAGTTGAGAGCCGGCGAAACGATCGCTAAACACACACAAGCGTCTAGAAGAGAAGATTTCGACAGCTAAAGCGAAGTGGAACAGACGATTTAGGAGCTCATGTCTACTCGAAACTGATTTATTAGATAAACTTATCATAGTTTTTGATTTAATTATTAGATGACAGTGGACATCTCGAAACAAATTCTTCTTTCATCCAAGAAAGGCTCAATGGCATAAATCATGCTGTTAATCACACAGAAAAAAATCTGAATGACTAGTGATGTAAACATCAATGCATACAAATATTGCATTCAATATTTGGAATATTTCATTAAATGTCTCATAAATTTACACGATCTATTTTGTAAATTTGCATGATGCTCCATTTACTATATGTGCATCATAGTGAGAGAAATTTAAACTACTTTTTTAACTATATACGTATGCGCTTCCCTTTTGATATTTGCTTTTTTTACAACCTGAACTACCAATCAAAGAATAAACTTCGAAAAGTCACGTCTGTAAGCCACCATCGTCGTCACCGGTAGCCAGTTCGGATACGACCGACTGACGCAAAGAAAGATGAGAAGAACCGCAACAGAGCGAACGCTCTCTATCATGAACCATCTACCATCTTGTCATCTTTCATTCTTTTGGAACACCTCCACCAAACCAGCTGCCGTGTCGCCGTTGTTGTTTTTGTCGTCGGATTTCAAACCTTCTACCTACCAGGTGTGGCCCAACCTGGTTGAAAAGGAGGTCGTTTCGCTTCCAAATTAGAAATACATGTATGCAGATGATATTCATAGTTTCTTTCGGAAGAGACTTCGTTGAACCAATGCATGACATTTTCAGCAACTGTAGGCGCACGCGTATCGATTTCATATCACGTTCTTAGCTAGCTTTTTTTTCGAGCTTGAAAGCACACGATTTTTGTTTTCAGTTGGTGGCTTAGCCTACCGAACGTTGTTTTAATGGCGTTTGATTGATTAGGTTAGTTCAGGTGTATTTAGTTTCTTTATGATTTTACAACTGTTCGAACGATAACCAGAAGGCTTTTGAATATTCAGGTTGTTAAAATGTGGTACACCGAATGAAGAACAGCAATCGACTGTTTAAGGCGGCATGTATTTAAAGAGATGTGTTGAATAATGAAATTTTGTCTTGATTAACGTCTTTGATTTTAGCATACAGAATCCTGCTATAATCTGAGGTTTTTATTTAAAAATTTCCAAAATACTTAGTTACAATAATATTGATAACATAACTAAAATAACCATTCCGAAATAACAAGACTACTCTTGATGTTTCGGCATAATATAGTTTTTCACGCAAATCTCTAACACTAACTTGTTTATTAGACTTGGTGGTGCCTGAGACTCGTACAAAATAAATTTGTCAATTTATCTTCAAATTAATTAAGTATATAGATTTCAACAAAATACTTATTTGCATATGTATGCATATTTTCAAAATTGGTGGAAAATCTCAGAAAGTATACCTGAAAAGCACAAAATAGAAAAATATTATGCCAATTAAATTTATCAACAGATTCCTTTGGAATCTTGATTAAAATTCAGGTGAAGGTGATAAAACTTAAGAAATCTTTCCAGTGTTAAGAATATATTAAATATTGCCAAGGTCCAGGATATTTTTTTAATCTCTTTTAATTCTCTTAGTTCAAGAATGTGCATGCGAACTGCTCCGAAGATAGTACCAGAGCTGAGCCAAAAAGTTGAGCTCGTTTCTTCGGGACCTTATGGTCTTAGAGTTACCTCTATGGAATCACCGCTTGAACAGGTGATATAATGTGGTCAGCTGAAGAATTTTCAAATAATTGTGTAAAATTATTCTTTGCTGATTTTATGTAGTCAATACATTTCCACCAGTATAACAAATATTTAAAGTGAATGTTTTGTACAAAAAACAATACTCTAAATATAGATGCTTGTTCACTACAGGCTAGTGTAAGAACTTTCATTGCATATCTCGCAAGACAACAAATTATGTAAGAATTTCAGCTTATTTTTTTGCTTGTTCCTTTTTTGTGCATGCAAATTTTCATTGGTCCAATTTGAAAGGTCCTTTTTTTTTAAAGGGACTTTCAGCCTTAGGCTGAAATTGAAACGTTTTTATAAAGTTTTCAATTGAAATAAAGCAAAAACTTCAACACTTTGGCTAACGTGAATCCAGTTGACGAAGGAATCGTATGGTTTTGTGCAGAATAAATTTTGATTTTTCGAGAACAAAGAGTTCAAGCAATGAGTCAAGAAGGAGCTCCGAAAACAAACTCCCCCACTGAACCCCCGACGTTCTTTCGTTTGCGACGACGTCACGGAGAAGCGACCCACAAGTGGTGATCCTGGAGACTCCTTTAATCACAGATACAGACAGGAAATTCCCCAGATTAAAAGAAATCACCATGGATCAAGGTGTATTCAAGGAGAGGCAACATGTTATTTCAGTTGAAAAGTATCATCAGGAGGAAGCGGTCAAGGGTGTATATCATTCTGATTCAAGCAAGAAAGATGGACCAGCAGCGCCATGCAATTTCATCCGGTTGACATTGCTCATGGATTCATTTGGTGAGTTCGTTCCTATTAATTAATTCACTTGTGATGATGACCGTCAACAGCGTTGAACAGCCATAAACAGTTGATAAAGCAAACACGTTTTTACAATTATTTGTTGAAATGAAACACATGCACTACAAAATGCAGGGCTGTTACAACATGCTCGGATTTCACGAATTTCGCGGATTTGAACTTTCAGTCGCGAAAATCGCGGAAACATTAAATAATGTCGCGAAAATCGCGAAGGGACTGATGTGCTGTCACACAAATTGTGGAATTCATTGTAACCTTTCCGTCCCGGATTATTTTGTTGTTCATTTGGCTCTCAATTTTTTATCGGTTCAATCCAAACACCCTGCAAATAATCGAGAAATGATCTCAATTCCATAATTCACACCGGATTTACACGGAAATTCTAATGTGAGACATTTTCATATATTTTTTTTATTTGCAATGTGAACATAGCATTTTTCGTTGTCAAATCATAAATGAATTGTATATGTGCGAGTAATTGCCATGTATACCGGAAATTCTAGGTTCTCCAAATCATCCTGGAGTTCAGTTGATTTATTCTACTATATCAACCAAGACTGTAGTATCGAAATATGTCCAAACAGATTCAAAGTGTCTTTGTGGATCATGCCCGACCTATTGCTACGTATACAAGATGCTAAAGGTTCTGAAACCACTTCTTTTTCTTTTTTAACCTTCTTTAACCATTCTGAAGATCAGATTATTTTTTTCCACTAGACCACCCTAGACTAATTCAATATCTGTAGTATCGAAATATGTCCAAACAAATTTGCAGTGTCTATGTAGATCATGCCAACCTATTTCCGTGTATATTGAATGTTCTAGGATTTCCAAATCGATATTTAGATACTACCAATATTATCCCAGTCTTTGTTGATCTAGTAAAACAAATCATCTGAATTGCAGGACGATTAGGAGAATCTAGATCGTGTGGTATACGTGAAAATAATTAAACATTATTCATATAGACACTATAAATCTGTTTGGACACATTTCGATACTACAGACTTTATCCCAGTCATGGTTGATCTAGTAGATTAAATCATCTGAAATCCAGAACGTTTTGGAGAACTTAAAACATATGGTATACATGGCAATAGTTCATGCATGATCCACATAGACAATGTGCATTTGTCTGGAAATATTTCGATACTAAAGACATTGTCTCAATCTCGGTTGATCTAGTAGATCAAATTATCTGAACTCCAGGACGATTTAAAGAACCTTGAACATCTGGATTACTCGGAAATAGACCATGCATGATCCACATAGTCACTTTGAAGCTCATTGGACATTTTTCGATACTACTGCCATTATTGCAGTCTTGGTTGATCTAGTAGAACAAATCAACTGATGTCCTGGACGATTTGGAAAACCAATAATATCCGGTATACATAGTAATAAGTCGTTCATGATCTACAAAGTCACATATATATGATTTGGTAATGATTCAACAAACCATCATTGAATTTTCAACCATCA